TGCTGCTGCTGCTGCTGTTGCTGCTGCTGCTGCTGCTGCTGCTGCTGCTGCTGCTGCTGCTGCTGCAGTTTGTGATGACGCATGCGTTTTGGACGAAGGTATGCATCATAACATTGGCTTCCTGGCTGCCCCCTCATTTGTTTGCGGTCGTTAAAAAAATTGTTAGGCCCCCACAATACTCTAAACTTACTGCAGCATAGCAGCAGCAGCAGCAGCAGCAGCAGCAGCAGCAGCAGCAGTAGCAGCAGCAGCAGTAGCAGTAGCAGCAGCAGCAACAGCAGTAGCAGCAATAGCAGCAATAGCAGCAGCAGCAGCAGTAGCAGTAACAGCAACAGCAGCAGCAGCAAGCTACTGATGCTGTTGCTGCTGCGGCTGCTGCTGCGGTTGCTGCTGCTGCCGCTGCTGCTGCTGCTGATGATGATAATGATGATGCATGCGACGAGGGGGGAGTGTTTCTCTGTAAAGGATGCTGCTGTCTGCTGCTGGAGGATTTGCAGCAGCAGCAGCAGCGCTGCAGCACCAGCAGCAGCGCTGCAGCACTAGCAGCACCAGGGCAGCTGCAGCAGCAGCAGTGCAGCTGCAGCTGCAGCAGCAGCAGCAGCAGCAGTGCAGCTGCAACTGCAGGAGCAGCAGCACCAGCAGCAGTGCAGCTGCAGCAGCAGCTGCAGCAGCAGCTGCAGCAGCAGCAGCAGCAGTGCAGCTGCAGCAGCATTGATGCGGCGTGAATGGGGTGTATGTACACCTGAAAGTAAACGCAGAAGTTGTGTTGGTGTTTAATGTGTTTATTGGGGTGTATGCATGCGCAGCTGTCTCCTCTTTAGGTGCCTATACACCGCAGCTAAAATATTATTATAAAGACAAGGACACAGCGTAGATAGAAAAAGAATAAAATATTATATACACAGAGACAGAGAAGGAGACAGAAAGAGAAACAGATAGAGAGACAGAGAAAGAGATAGAAAGAGAAAAGGAGACAGAAGAAAAGAGAGACAGGGAAGGAGACAGAGAAGGAGACAGATAGAGAGAGACAGAGAAGGAGACAGAGACAGAAAGAGAGACAGAGAAGGAGACAGAGAAGGAGACAGATAGANGAGAGAGACAGAGAAGGAGACAGAGACAGAAAGAGAGACAGAGAAGGAGACAGAGAAGGAGACAGATAGATAGAGACAGAGAAGGAGACAGAGAAGGAGACAGTGAAGGAGACAGAGAAGGAGACAGATAGAGAGAGACAGAAAAAGAAAAAGAAAAACAAAAGTGCAGCAGAGGCAACACAAACATAAGCAAGACAAAGGAGACAGGAGACAGAAAGAGAGGAGACAGAGAGAGAGAGAGAAAGAAGAGAGAAAGAGACAAAAAAAAAAAAAAACAAAAAAAATAAAATAAATAAACATCCTTATATATACTTATTCTCTATATAATATATAAAAACTATAATGAAGAGACACCGCAACAAAAAAAACAAAACAGAAAAAAACAAAAAAAACAAAGAAAAACAAAAAAGACAGAGACAAAAAGAGACAGATACTATAGACCTTTCTTGTCTCTACAACAGAGAGACAGAGAGAGAGAGAGAAAGGGAGACAGAGAGAGACAGAGAGAAACAGAGAGACAGAGAGAAACAGAAAGAGACAGAGAGAAACAGAAGGAGAGAGACAGAAAGACAGAGACAGAGAGAAAAAGAGAGACAGAAAGAGAGACAGAAAGAGAGAGACAGAGACAGAGAGAGACAGAGAGAGAAGCAGAGACAGCCGCAGCAGCAGCAACGGTCCTCTGTCTCCTTTCTTTTTTTTTCTCTTTCTGTCTCCTTTCTTGTTTTTGTTTTTTTTCTGTTTCTCTTTCTCTCTATAGGGCTGTAAAAAGAGAAAAAGCAGCAACACAAAGAACCACAAGCTGCGGTGTATGTACACCTCAGCTTCATCTCTGCTGCTAGCGGGGCTGTATCCTTCCTCGCTCCCTCCTGCATGCAACCTGGCTAGCTGCAGCACCGGGGTGGCTAGCTGGGGCGCCGGGGTGGCTAGCTGCAGCAGCGGAGTGGCTAGCTGCAGCAGCGGAGTGGCTAGCTGCAGCAGCGGAGTGGCTAGCTGCAGCAGCTGGCTGGCTAGCTGCAGCAGCGGAGTGGCTAGCTGAGGCACCGGGGTGGCTAGCTGAGGCAGCGGGGTGGCTAG